CTGCCTCCAGCTCCCCGGTCCCCAGATCCCCCTGCCTGCAGCTCCCTAGTCTCCAACCCCCCCTCCTGCAGCCCCACCTCCGGCCGCCTGGGGGCGCTGTGCCACCGAGCCCTCCCCCCCCAATCCCCGCGACGATCCATGACTCCGCAGCCCGCAATCCTTTACTCGGTGATCTTCTCGCTGCCCTGGCCGGGAGGAGCCGATGGCAGCACGGCGAGGAAGGGGAATCGAGCCTATCGGCGCTCTCCGCCAATCGAGCCGCTCGGCTCTCCGCGCGCATGCGCAATGCGCGCCGGCGCCGCCATTGCTGTCCTGTCAGTGAGGCGCTGGGAGCCGGCGGCCGGTAGAGCGGAGGTAACGGCGGGGCGGGGGGGAGGCCTGGCGCCTCCGCACGGGCTGTGAGGGGCGAGGGGGAGGCGGGGAGACGACGCACGCCTCTGAGAAGTGCTGGCGGCTAAAGTATAGGCGAGGCTGAACCGAACCGGTCCTAGCTTGGCTCGGTTCGGCCTGGCCCGGCCCTTCCCGGTTCTGCCGTGGTTGAGTGCGGCTCTGCCCCTGTGCTCCCTCTGCAGCAATGGAGTTCCAGGCCGTGGTGATGGCAGCGGGAGGTGGTTCCCGTATGACAGACCTGACGTCCAGCATCCCGAAGCCGCTGCTCCCGGTGGGCAACCGGCCCCTGCTCTGGTACCCGCTGAACCTCCTGGAGCGCGCCGGCTTTGAAGGTGAGACGCAGTGGTTACTTGGGGTGTGGGTGGAGACGACGTGCTTACCCTGGTCTCTTCAGGCTTCCCATAGCCACCTCTGCCATGCCTGTTTGTCGCCCACCTAGTTCTAATGTCCTTTCACAGATGCCTTGTTGAGCAGGGCATTTGCTTTAGCAGGTGGTCTCTGCATTAGAGATACACAGTTGGCCCATGTCACATCCTTTTCTTAACAGGTACTTCCTGTGCCTTTGCCTCCTTCCCCCTCTTCTTCTCTTGCTAAGGCTTTTTCCATCTATATGCTTTTCCCAACTTCAGTGTCTTTGCCAGTGTTGTTAACTGGGAGTCTCTAATTTCTTTCTGTGAATCATTGATGAGAGTGGCGTGAGAAGCGTGTCAGCTCTCTTGGGATATCTCTTGGTTTGTTGTTTTAGTCTGGCCTGAAGTTCACGGTTACTTGCTCTGTCTGAGGCCCTTAGTCCTTGTTGTTGTAGCATGGAGTCAAGTGCTAGGTTTTCGACAGAACAAGGCAGGGGAAGTGGCAAACTTGTAATGCCTGTGGGCCTTGTTTCATGGGCAGGCTAAAACAGTGTGTAGTATATAGTGAGGTTCTTCAGTATTTTCTAGGTTTAGGTTTTTGTTTACTTTTTGATTGGTGAACCAAGTCTTTCCGTGGTGTTCCCCCTGCTATATATAAAACTTCTTCCTGATGCTTCTCGTGGCTCTGTTTTTTTCATGTTTATATTTGTCCTTTGCCTTTCTGCATCTCTGTTTTTTCTTCTCCTACATGACACTGCAATTATTTTATACTCCATCCCAAGAATGTGGCTTCTTTTGTGACTTCTTCTTTTCTCTGTGAAAATGTAAATATCGGCCCATGGTTAGCCATCTCATGGTTAGGCCATGTTAGAGCATGGTCAGCTCTTACTTTCAGAATGAAAGGACAAAAGAAAAAAGCAAATTTAAGACTTTGCCTTTATTTTGTTTCCTAAAAAAGTCCTTAAGAACTTTTTCCCCTTGGAGTTGCTTTTTGCCTGTTGTTAGTTGAAGTCTGCTTTCTGAATGTCTACTTTCTTTGACTGTTTTTTCTACTTTGTTTGGCTGTGATATGGATATATGGGTAGCTAAAAGCTTCTCTGCAAGCAGTCTTGTGCTTTTTGTGACTTTTTATAATTATTCAGAAATAACCTTTTCCACTTGATGCTGTTGACCACTAGTAGGTGATATCATGGTCAGATCTGTCTCCTTTCTCACCTGTAGCTCTTCAGCTCATCTATCCCCTATGAAAATTTGGACATGCAGGGTCGTGTATGCAGCTTCAGTAAGTGAGCTGCCACCTACCTGCTCCTGTCTTGCTTCTGCCCCCTGACCAAGCTGTATGTTTCTGCATTAATACTCCAGTGGCACAAATTCTCTCCCTGGATCATAATTCTAAGTATTATAGGAGGCTTTAGTTCCTCATACGTGCTTATATTAGTAAATAGGTGTCCCACAGTGTGATTCACTGCATTCCTTCTGTCCCAACTGCAAGTGCTTCATCTTTCCTAATATTAGGAGACCTTTGTCCAGCTCACCAGATTTATGCTGAACTGCTTATAACTTCCACTGGACACTAATTCCCTCTCCATCAGTTACTTTTTTCCCCAGTTCAAGGTGTGCTTTCAATCCCCGTCTCTAGGTTCTTCAGCCTGTTTTGACTCCAAGTTGGCACCCAGTATGGGAGTGGGAGGGGAGCCCTCCTGTATCTCTGGTACCCAAACCACCACACAATCCTCATGTTTATACTTCCTTCCTCTTTTCTGTTAACACATTCAGGATAAATTCAGATTTATTCTTAGTGTGTTTTCATCTTACCACAGGAGCTTCCTAAGCTGAGGGCTGTATTATTTCCTGTACTTCTCTGTTAAAATTGCATATGGAGTACAATGTTATAGTATTGTTTGGCTGGTTTTTGTTTTTTTTTTTGTGGGGTGGGATATTTTAGTTTGAGGGTTTGACTCAGTCTTGTCTTTGCAGAGCTTCTGTTCTCAGAATCTTCATTTTGGAAAATATGCTTTCATGCCACTGTTGATATCCTTCAAATATGCATTTACCTTCTGTCTTTTGTAGATGGAATGAATTTGTTGCCAATACATTACTTCACTCCCTTGCGAAGCTGATGCTGTGAAATAGTTTAACCATTGCATTGTAAAACTGTGGTTGGTGGTGTTGTCCACAGAGGATTATACAGGATCAGGATGGGCAAAAGACAAAGGTCTAATGTGTTGGTGACATTAATGCAGGGTCTCGTTGGCCTGTTTGAGGATGTATGGTTTGAGGTCACTTGCTAACGATAGAATATACTTCTGTCTTGCTGACTCATGCCACCTACATGCATGTGTCCCTTTCAATAACAGCCCTCCACCCACACAAAAAAGGAGAGATTGTTTTCATATTCAATAGGAGTTTCTCTTTTGCCAAAGTTACTGTTGCCAAAAGTGCTTGGTTTGTAGAACCATGTCATGTTACTCAAGGCTTTTGACAGTTCCATCAGGCTTTGTAAATAAAAAGTGAAAGTATTCTATTTGTGATTAATATATTTTGGGCTTTTTTTTTTGCTTGATTTCATTGCTCTTTTCTCTGTTCTAGAGGTCATTGTGATTACAAGGAAGGAAATCCAAAAGATGTTAAACTTGGATACAAAAATGAAGCTGGATTTTGTGTGCATCAGTGACAACATGGACATGGGTACAGCAGATTCACTGAGGCATATTCACCAGAAAATTAAGGTATTACTGTCTTTTATTGAACTTGCCTGGAAGGCATTTGTTTCTAATAATTTTTTTTTTTTTTGCATTGTGCTTTAAGACCTGTCCCACGTAATGATATTGTGGGTAACTGAATTTCCTGATTCTCAGAAGAGCTGAATTTTGTAAAGGTTACCTCATGGGGGAACTCAAATGACTAGAATTGACAGCTGGGAAGGCTGGAGTAAATCCAGGCTGGGCACTGGCTGCTTCTTAGTTAGTGTTAGCTTTCTGACAAGGTAATTAAAAGGTTGTATTTGTTCATACATTTTTTGATAGGATGTGTGATAGCTGTTGTCCAGTTAGTGCTTGGGGAAGTAGTTCTGCACAAATGTTCTTTGTTGTAGCTTAGGCAATACGCTGATACGTAAGGAAGCTTGTGCTCGGTTCTTGGCCCTGCCACGGGCTTTCCTGCGCCATGAGGCCAGCGTCTTGCTCTGTGCTTCAGTTTTCTGCTTTGCTGGCTTGGTCATACGGTAAGCTCCTCGATAAACAGTGCCCAAATGTGATAAAGGGCTGCTGTTCTAATAAAAACACCAGTTCATAGAATTTTAATTTCCAGCTGCGCAATTAAAACACTCCCATGTAAGGCAGAAATGCTGCTTTCTGGGATGGAATTTTGTTTTTGTCATTGTCATACACTTAATCTTTCTGATTTGTTCCCTGTCTGTTTAGGCCATCTTAGCCAAATTGGCTGTTTAAATAAAAGTTGCAACAGAACATCAATGGACCGTTTAAGTCCTGAGGTGTCTTTTTGTCTTCAGGCTCTTTTTGAAGGTAATAAATTGCAGTATTACAGGCCATGTATTCCCTAGCAAAAGACTCCAGTTGAGACCAGACGAAACTTTCCAGGCATATGTGAGTGTCTAGGTGGTATAATGAGAGAGATTCGGACAGGGATTAATACACAGACCAGAATAATTTAGAGGGTGAAGAGAAGATATAAAGAGGAAAAGCAAAATCAACAAAATCAGTTTAATTTAACTGAACGTTTCTGTCATGTGGAGAATCGCACTCTCTCATAACTCAGTTTGGCAGTATTTTTTAAATACGTGCATGCAGTAATGAAATATCTTTCCTCTTCAAATTGTGACCCTGGCCTTACAGTTTTATTGCCTGATCAGAGCGATGAGTCCAGCTGTCTGGGAGCCCCTCTTTTTGGGAATCCAGGCAAGTTTGCTTAGGGGGTGGCCTGGGAGGCAACAGTGAAGCGTGTGGGGGTAAGAAAATAGACTGTGTCTTCAGAGGCGGCAGTGTTGATCTTCTGTTTATTTTTCAGAAAAAAGGCTTAGAGAAGATGTGAGGTAGTATTGAAAACCACACAGCTTTTCTTCAGTCAGCTGCTGTGTATTGCTTCTGCCTTTTTTATTCCATGTCTTGCTTGTCTGGCCAGAGAGGACAAAGTGGTCTCTTATTTGAAATAGTCTACACTAAGTTCTTGAGCAGGTTGCCGCACTGTGTATTTTGGAGTCATTCCTCTAGTAAATGCATACCACTGGTTCACGTCTTGCAGGGTATAGCCTCTCCTGTGTGATATAGGTGAGAGAACTACACAGTAAAGGTAGCTGAAAAGCTGCAGTATGTTGGTTATGTCTACAGTTTAGCAGGAGAGAGATCTCACTGAAGAATGCCCTGGTGAAAAAAACTGTTGCTTGTGGCCATAGTTTGCTGGCAGGCTTTTTGCAACCCATGCCAAAAGTCTGATGAGGAGTTTAAACTAGTTGCTGAAACTTTTATTTGTTGCAAATTGAGTTAATAGCCCACAGACACAAGAGCAAGTATGCTCAATAAAAATGAGGTAACGTGGCACAGTATAGACAACTTGCTTGTGTGCAATGCGAGTGACATGGAGTAAAGCCAGCATTTTAAATGCACAGTAAGAAATATGTCTAAGACTAGCTGAACTGCTGATCTTGAGATGCGCATAAATGTTAAATGACTCTAAAGCATAAAATCTCATGGCTTTCTGCCTTGTCTGATGTTTGACTGAGGCAGTTCCACCAGCGCAGCGTTGCTGCTTGCTGTGCCTGCAATGGCAGGCCTTTTTGCTGTGTTGCACCTTGGTTAATGAAGTTTGATACTGTAAAGATTAGGTGTTGAGATTAGATTTACAGAACTGCGTTCATGAGTAGCATGAGAATGCCTACGTGCAAAGGGCTGAGGGAAGGTAGTCTGCACTGTTGTTTTGTAACTTTTTGGTGCTGGCAGTTTTGGGGGCAGGTAAAATTGACTGTCTTGGATCACGGTAACAAGCAGCTGACTCCACCCACCATTCTTACTCTTTCCTGATCATTCAGAAGTTCATGAGAGCAAAGGAAGCATGTTCAGGTTTTTGTTTGCTGTTCGCCCACTCTACACACACAGGATTATTTTTTTTTTTGACATCTTTCTATCTTTGATATAGTAAATGGATGTTCTTTGCTTTGTTGGAACTCTTCCTGTTATGTTCAGGTTTTTGTTTGCTGTTCGCCCACTCTACACACACAGGATTATTTTTTTTTTTGACATCTTTCTATCTTTGATATAGTAGATGGATGTTCTTTGCTTTGTTGGAACTCTTCCTGTTATTTTTGGCTATCTCAGCTTACACCTGATTGACAAGGCAGCAACTTCTTTAGGTTTTTTTATTCGTTAAAAGTCTGAATGTATGCTTTTGGATCCTTCACACAATAAAGATATCATGCTAACCTTGATTTCTAAAGACACCTGCTTGGGAAGTGATGAATGACAGAGAACTTGGTCCCATAAGTTCCACTTTTTGGGTTCCTAGACCTGGATGTCTGTCTGGCCTGTTCTTTACCAGTAGGTCTTTAATTGAATTGTGTGGTGGGGTGGTTTTGTTTGTTTTTATTTAAATGTCCAATTCTGGTGTCTGAATAGCTAACACCAGTGACCAGTTGGTCTTCACAACTCTATGGCTGAGAACCGAGGCTTAAAGAGATGAAGGAATTTACATTAAAGAAAGTTGTAACAGTACTGGGAACTGGACATGTGTCCCAAGTCTCTCATGGTTTTGTGAACATCATAGTCTTTCTATACTGTGTGTCTATTGCATACTTTGTTTCCCCACCTTGAAAAAGCCAGCAGGACAAGAGATTAAACACAAGTTGAAACTATTTTAAGTGGAAACTATAGAAGTAGAAACTTAGTAGTCCATTTTCTGAATTGCGACTGTTGAGAGTTTTTTTCAGTGTGTGCTAGATTATGACTTTTAAAAGGTCCTTAATTTGCGAATGCATTGGTCTAAATTTAAGTAACTGAAAAATCATTTTGCAGCATATGAAGTAGAAACTGCTAGGGATTTTTTCCTATCTGTGTTTGTATTATTTTTTTTCATTGAGTAATATAACATTCATGTTTTACACTAAGTAATTAATGTCCAGCACTTAAAATGATGTCGTCAAAGAGCAAAAAGTGCATATAGGAGTTACTGATTTATTTCTTAAATGCTTCTTTTTATACAGGGATATGAAAACAATTTAAGGACTTTGTTACAATTGTTGATCAGGTCCTTTAATTGCTTTCCTGTGGACAATCCCAGCATTTCACTAGAATGCTGTTGGTTTCAGGATCGTACTATAGCCTGTGTACTTCATGACAGTTTCCATGGCTATCATTTTAATGTCCAGTCTCTGTTTAAAGATGTACTTTTAATACCACTGTCAGTTTTATTCTTTTGGACCTTTCAGTTCCTAGTTTTTTGCTCATCTTTTGCAGGACTGATAATGCTTTTCAAAATATGAAAACGCAGTTGCAAAGTCTTAATTCTTTTCTCCTTTATGTGTAGGACTGGAAATGGCAGAACAGAGGCTATGTAGACTGACAGTTGATGGTATTATAATACTGCTCTTATTGAAACTGCAGCTTTACCACCATAGGGGTGCTTACAGGTCTCTGCCACTTTATGATCTAGCCTAAACAGAGAGACAAGCCAGCCTTCCATGCCTGTAGGTTTGGAGTGATGACCTTTCCTGATCATGAAGAGTGAAGAGAATGCACCTGTTCCAGATGGGGCCTTGGCAAGAGGAATTTAATATATTTTGGAAGGTGAAGGTCTGCTTCTGTAGCTGAGTAAATTCGTTACAGGAACATTGACTTTATTTATTTTAAATGCCTTCCATTTTCTTTCAATTGTTCACATACACGAATCACACAGAGTGATTTCCGTAGTGAAAACTTTAGTACTTTTTGCGTTACTGCCTTACTCGCAGCATGGAAGTGAGAAAGGTCCAGCAAGACTTACAGGACACAAAAAGAAGCACCCCCATGGATTTCTTCAGCTGCGTGCCTGTCAGCTTTTGAAAATCTGTGCAAAGTAGTGGAAAAAACCTTTCACTAATTTTTTTTGAAGACAACGAAGAGCTGTGATAAACCAAATAACTTTGATGGATCGTATCAAGCAATGAATTGAGCAGTTATTCTTAGGTTCCAAATCTGTTAAAACAGTTCTCTCACCCAATTTACTCAATCCAGTATTTTTATGTTGAACTTTTAAAATATAGCTATGTGTTCATGTCTGTTCTCAAGAATCATTGTTAATTATTACTTTGAAACTTCAGAAAATTATTTTTATAGATTAAATAACAGAATCATCTAAGTCTGTAAAATGTAATTACCATCTCAACCAATGTACATTAGTAAGAGCAGACTGTGAGCTCTTTAGGCCAGAACTTATGCTTTTCTTTGTCTTTGTAGGACATGTGTTTTAGTCTCCTCCTTTGGTTGGAGCCATTTTGCTATTGTCTTAATCTATTATTTACATTAAAAATATTCTTAACTTGTCAGGGAGTGCTTGAAATAAAAACAAATAGTTACCATAGGTGTAAAAAATTGGTTTTGTAGAAAATGTAAAGCAAACTACCTCCTTCATGAAGTCTTGCTTTGCACATCCATTTTTTTTCCTGTCACTTTCTGATTCTGCTCTCTTGAGATACCTTTCCTACTCCATCAGTCACTTAGGCTGTTACTCATCACTGTTTGAT